TTCACCTTTCTGACATTCTGAGACCCAAACAAATTCAGAGCCTTCTGTGCTTTGATTTGTATGGTACAGTTAAAACTACTCTCTACCAATAGCCCAATCCATCAACAGTCTACGCGAGAATGACCTCTTCTAACCTCCAATGATGTTGAATATAGATTTATAATAAAACAAAGAAAATGAAGCTTTGCCTACCAGGTTTTCAGGGTATAATGTATACACACTTTATTACAAATAAAAAAGAAAACAAGGAATCTGTAAAGAACTAATTAAATACGGAAATGGTGAAAATTTGTACAAATGTATTTAGAAACATCCTCAGATGTGTCCATACCTCGATAAGCATGCATGGTACCTTCAATGTGACACGTTCGTGCCACTCCATGAAAACGAAGTATGGTCCCAAAGTAAGCATGGGTGTGCAACAATGGGCGAAACTAAATGTAATAGACTTTTGAAAGGGGATCGAAATTCTGCATATCACATACAGACGTACGTCAAAAGAATTTAAAAATTGTTTAACATATATCCTTCAGGTAATTTAACAGTAATCAAATAGGAATACTAGAGCCACCAAACATAAAAATGTCCTGTTATAGGTTCAAAAATATAACATTTCTGATTTTTACGGCCTCCATATAACGCTGATCATGTGATATTACGATATAATAGAGAAAATCAGGATCCCTAATGAACGCAAAAAAAACCTGCAAAATTGAAAATGTTCGGTTTAGCATAATTAAGAAACGGTTGTGGTAAGTGCAATTTACTTCCCGACGCCACCCCCCCCCCCCCCGCATGTCTGTCCACTGACGGTTGTCAAAGTACGTTCATGCCATTCCATGTAAAATGATGTATGGTCCCAAAGTAATAGAATAATTGTAATTTTTCCATGTCATGCACGAGAAAACAGATGAAACTAAATGAATAGTATTTTGAGAGGGGATCAGAATAAAATATGAGAATAAATCTCAACAAAAAAGAGCTACTACGAATCAAAGACAGCTGCCAAAAGGAGAAATTTAACAATTATCATAGTATCGAAGCAATACATACGTCCCCTACGGTGAGAACCACAGGGACATTGGCCATTCAATTATGCTAATGCATGAATGGATTGATGAATGAATGAATGAATGGTTGAATGAATGAATGAATGAATTAATGAATGAATAAATAAATAAATAAATAAATAAATGAATGAATGAATGAATGAATGAATGAATGAATGAATGAATTAATGAATGAATGAAATGAATGAACTTAAATATTTTGAGTTCTTAGTTTGTTTATATTATAGTAATGTGTTAAGTTTCCCTGCCTAGGAAATTATGTTTATAAAACAGATAATCAAAATATCCAATTTTCTCAAATTTGTTTGAAAAGTTCCAAGATCTTGAAAATGATCTCAAGGAATGGACAGACTGACGGACTGACAGACACTCTGAAGGTAAGTCTTTAAACATCTCTGGTTGTTACCAAAATATAACATTATTATAACCAAAGAGGAGATAACTCTTGAAATAAAGATGCAAGACTGTCTTATGAACATTGTCATACATGATGTGAGTGTAACAAAGAACAATTATCTTAAGTTTATAGAAGATACAATTTTTGTCACAAAAAAAGAAAAGTGAAAAACACTAACAATTATAATCTCCATACTGCCATCTTTCCATATTTCAAGTTTCATAAAAATACGTATTCGTACTTTCAAGTTCTTTTTGAGTAATCACAAATATTGCTATATTTGCAGTTTGTAAGCATATTTGTTGCCATAGCACAAAAAAACATTTCAACATATGAAGAAAAGAAAAAGATGTGCATAATCTCCAGACTGCCACCTGCCCATGTCTCGTAAAAATATTTTCAGTACTTTTTGCATTATCACGGAAACACGGGATCCATTTTTTGTGTGTTAAATTTGTCATCTTTTCTATAGCAACCAATGTAAGTTTTCAACATAGGAAGAAAGAAAAAGACGTGCATAATCTCCAGACTGCATGCCATCTACCCATATATCAAGTTTCATAAAAAAATCTCAATACTTTTTGCGTTATCACGGGATCCACTTGTAGACGGACGGACGGACACACAGACGGAGGGTAAACCCAAAGTCATCTCCTGTTAAGGCAGGGGACTTAAAAGCAGATACCATATCCTTAGGGTGATTAAACACTGTTCAAGTATTAATTTTGGATACAAACACTTAAATATCTTAAACTTAATGTACTTAGGTTAAATGGGAAACAATGTTTAACTTCTTCCGTCTTATTTTATAAGCACCGAGCACCGATCATACTGTACTTTATAAGTATGCACATTTATTTGCAGTGTAAAGACTTAAGGTTTCAAGATTAGATTTTGCTCGTTTTATCACAAAGTGCCATCGAGGACTGGTTGGCACACAGATGGTTTTTTTTCATAATTTTCAATCTTCCGTTTATGGTCATAATAATTAAAGAATTTGTTGCCATTTTTGTGCCCTGAAATACAAATTTAGTCCTTTGTCGTCGCTAAATTTTGTTGATTTTTACCATGGCAAATAAAGTTGCCATGACACTTCAATCGAAAACTTTTATTCATATGAACATTTAACACGGTAGCAATGTTAAAGATTGACAGTGTATGTATATAAAAAGACGGGGGTTTTAATGAAAACTTGCAGCACACCAATATCATCATGGTCATAAAGATACAGGAATCATTTTAATATTTTGTTTTAAAGCAAATATCGTATTTGCTCCGTTGTTTTTTGCTCTTTTAACAAATATTTTCATATTCAGTGGGGTTCTTTTTAAGATTATCGGAAGACCTTAAAACATGTTCGTCCAATTTCTCGAGAAACACGTATAATCTAATAAGGATCAATCATCACAAAATAAGCAAGTTGTGGCCCGAAACAAAAGTTGAAGAACTTTGTAAAAGTTATAGGCCAAATATGTTCGCAACGACAACTCACTTATATAGAAAATCATTTTTGTATGTGTGATTTAAGTGTCAAAACATCTGTTCTGCTTGAGTGGTCGGAAAATTAAATTAGTCTAATTTGAAAAACAATTATAAAACGACATGACAGCACGTCGCGGTCTGTTATTCCGCGGCAAATTACCGTGAAACAGGTTTTATTCTGGGTTAATTGAAATGAAATAAGCGTGAATAAATTTTTCAATTGCCATGTTACTATGACCTTACAATTTTCACTTGATTTATTGAAAAGAATGATAATTTTATGGAAAATATATTATGTTTCCGTGATTGATTCTTCTTTGATATGAGAAAAGGAATATACTGTGTCTGCTTGTACACAATATGGGAGGTCTTAACTCGGCAGACCCAGCCTAATTTCAGTAACTTACATTTACGGTGAATTAACTGATTGAAAAAAAAAGTTTTGTAGCAGTCATTTAAATTCATTATATTGACAAAATGAATGATAATTATTGATTAATCATCAAATAATACAAATCTGGGGCATACAATGACTAATATGGCCTATTTGAATATGTATTCTTGGCCCAGCCCTTTCACACTGAGAATACGGACCATTCATGTATCTACCAAAAGAGGTGACCTATAACTTTTGAATGAATGGTACTAAATATGTATGCTCGTAGATTTTGGCTAAACTAGTATTAATAAAGGGAGGTAAATCGGTTCGGTTTGTTATGAGCGTAAAGTAGTTATTTTTCTTGAAATAGCTTTCTTAACATATATATAATTTTATTTTTAGCAACTAACTGCAACTTTTCCTCATAAAAGAATGCAATTAAGTGATGTTAGTAGTGAATACGTTACACACGTTTCATTCAACTAAATAATTCTTTTTACCCGCGCCTGTGATAAGAACATCTAAACCGTTTCCCATCTGACTTAGTATTATCTGCTGCCAAGGTAACTGAACTTTTTAAAATTTAAGACTCATATGGTCACTCCTTTATGTAAACCATATAGTCCGCCAAAGAAAAAAAGTTTAAAAAAACTTTGTCTTTTATATCCATCCATATTTATCTTTGAAAACTACAGTTCGATCACCGCGGAACATAAAGGAATTACAAAAATATGATATTGAAAAGCATTCAGTGGGCCGAATTTAGTATTAACTTACGAAAAAACTCATCTAAACGTTTCTGTTTTCAAGTCGTTAAAAAAAAGACAAAAATACTTTAAACTCTTGTGTATAAACAATTTAGTTTTGTTAAATCGTTACGAACGATTTATCTATCTACCATCTTGGTATTTCGTTATTTAAGACACTTTACTAGATTACATGGTATTGAGAAGAAGGTAATGTATCATATGTACATCTGCCAAACTCATAATACTCACAAAATTGTTAATTTGAATGAGTTTTGTAATCTTCAAAATGTGTGATCAAACTGCATAAAATTCAAACCCCGGTCTCTTTTTATCAGCTTCCCGCCCCTATAATTACTCTCCATTGATTTTACACCTACGCTTCCTGAATAAAATGCTGTGGCTATTAAGCTATTTGATTAAAAGTGTGGACCTGATTCTATTTCTAAAAGCACCATTTATAAAAGTGCTATTAATTTCCTGCTGTTTTTTGTTGTTTTTTTTTCATGTATCTATATACATTTTAGGTGTATTTTTTTCTACTATACTTATGATCACACCATAATATTATGTTGAATATCTGCACGATTTTATTCTCATTTAAGTAGAGTGATTTAATGCTTTCTGAACATTTGATAAGGTCTTAATTTATACACATACCGAATATTTTATAAGCGTGCACTTTTCGTTCTAATAAAAAAGACGAGTTTTACAGCTGTATATTTACAAAAGAATTGTACGTTACGGACGTCAACGTCACGGTCATTACACGTTACTCCTTTTACATTTTATGACAATATAGCTTATTGTAAAATCTTATTTATACCCTCTTTATCATAAAAATCTCAGAATTATTTTTACGGCCTTACGCGTTTTGTGTCTTTTATATTTTTTAGAGGCAGTACTTTAATAGCTAGCGTATGACGAGAGACCTAGATGATCGTATTTGAATGTATTCATACCTTTAAAACCAAACCGCGATAGTTTAATATATTCCCCCCTATCATACACCGCTACGCTTTTTACTATGGCGGTGTAATGTCGTATTATATATAGTACAGCAGTGTGAAGCAGGACTAATACATGTCGGAAAACCACCTGTGACAAAAAAACTACATTTGAAAAATTGATTTACATAGGAATATAAGTGGCCAGTTTGCTTTTATTTCATGTGATTAGCATTTAACAGTGCCCGCGCGTAATTGATGGATACTGTGAATTGTTAAAAATTGGACCGTTTCAAAGCGGGATGGTATATACTCGAGGGTCAGTGGCTCGAGAAGTTTAAAAGTGGGTCTTTATAATGTTTGCATGGTTGAAACGATGAAGTTTCAGAAAAATGAGAAAGCCTAGACATTTGGATTTAACTTTATGTATTTTGTTACTGGAGTTATATATTTTGTACATAAATGGTAAGTTAATATTATAACATCTTTACAAAAAGAAAGTCTACTTGTTATTACAATACAAATCTGAAAGATGTAAAACTGTTCCCTTCACTATAATTTTTTTTCTAAGATTGGAATTGCGGTTTAATTAATTTGCCATCATTGTTAAAATAGTTAATGTAATAAAAGATTATCGGAAATTAAGTAAATATATATTATAAAACATTGGTTACATTAAAATTGTCAACATTTTATCTTTAAGATTGGAATTGCACCGTTAATTAATTTGCATATTTTATATTTCATGTTTTAAGTCAAGGGGGTCCGAAAATGTACGAGAGTGACTGAATTAATTGACAATTGAAATTACGACAATTTATAGGTAAACAAATGCTAATTCATGTTCATGTAAATAGAGGATAAAAATGAACATTTCAATTAGCTTTGCCGTTTCACAAATGAAATACTGAAACATTTAAGTATTTATTTCAATTATAGTAGATAAGTAAATCAAACAATCATCTCAGATTAATTATGAATTATGTGAACAAATGATACAGTTATAGCCGATATGAAAATAGGTAAACAAATATTAATAAATGTTACGTAAAAAAAGAGAGAATAAAAACGAACATTCCCATCAGCTCGGCCACTTCTGACACAAAATGACAAAATTCTATCTTTAACGTAACAAGTTATGACACAAAAAGTAGAGAAATAAATCAAATTATAACCACAGTTGAATTATATGTTAATAAACGTTTAAATTAACAGGATACAAAAATGACACGTTATGTAAGATTTTGTTGTTGATTATTATTATTATTATTAATATTATTATTATTATTATTATTATTATTATTATTATTAGTTTTATATATTATTATCATACTTTTGATTTTGATCTGTCTTTAGTGAAGTTGAACATTTTCAATTTTTTTATAATCTCGTAGATTTGAAATTCTTTTTATCGACCGATACTATAGAAAGAAATGCAAATTTTTTGCTTTGACATGAAAAGTAAACACACATTTGTGGGCATGCTAGTTCTTTCATCCTCGAGCATAGAAGTGCCTAGTATAATGCAAATAAGTACTCTATGGCTGTTTTATTCGTACTAAAATACCTATGAAAATTTATTCATTAGATCTAGCAGCTAATTAACATATTTTAGCATATTGTTTTGAGCCAAATATCAAAGAAAGGTGACACTTTTTTGACCAAAATTTGCTACGCCTAATAAAACTATGCAGTTAAATAGTTTGTATTTCGTCTATACGATATCTTTTACAATTTTAGAGTAACGACATATGCCAAAACACGGTCTTATTTAGGTTATTTGTGATATTTTAGAGTAATGGGGAGCAATTAATTTCACGTAATGCGTGCACGCGACGTAGATTTTTTTCTTTTTAAAAAGTTGACATGTGCGCATTAAATCAACCTCCCATATAAACCAGCAGCTAAGACGTACACCTATAATTACAATAAATAAAAAAGGTGCACGTTTTTCACGTTGAGCGTTACAGTATACTCTTCAGTGCATATCTATCTATGCAAATGTCTTACATTATAAAGGTAAATTTCTGGCTACTGAGGCGGGTTAATTTATTATTCATCTACTGATATAAACAGTTTGCAATGTCTCGTTATTTTAATGTAGTTAAACAGTATGCAAAGCAATGTTTAAATTTCACTGAAATCTGGTTTGAAATTACACAGCAGTAGTTTATTATCCATTCAGTTACTTTATTATATATTTAGTTGAAAATCTCAGTAATATGAAGAATCTATATGTTGAACAAATAGTAGCTGTTACTATTAAATAATCTGATTGAGACAGAAAAAGTTGTCAATCCACAACATGTTTATTATCATATTACATTCTTAGACTCAATCAGGTTAAAATTCATGGGGAGGAAATACAATTATTATTACTATAGCAAGATTATTCAAGAAGAGAAATATATAACTATATATGTATGCATAATGTAAGTAAAATAAGAGAATATCAGCGCAGCTTGGTAATCAAAAAATTTGTTTATGAATATAGAAAAAAAAAGCAAAAAAAAAAAAAGCAAAAAAAAAAAAAGCAAAAAAAAAGAACATTTATTCAGTCTCTGTATTCCGGTTGCTCTTCTTTCAAATAATTAAAAAATTTGGTATTTTAATACATTATGAATGCCTTATGAGAACTGAAACATATGAATCAAAATAACCATGTTCATCTTTCTGTTCGGTATGTGTTCTTAGATAATGATCACGTGATATATAGAATATACATGTATATCTCTATAATTATTTGTGAGACAAGGATTTAACAAGATTGACACTTGTATTCTGATGAACTGCTTATAATACATATATTATTATGTATGTTTGTTATATTACCCGTCAATTTTATAAAAATAATCGAGAGAAAAAACACTTCTCAAAAATATATATGTCACTACTGTGGCAAACCTAATATGGGTATGGTTTGTAACTAGACTAGTTCCAATCAATTTCGGTAGTTAACAATTGTAATATCATATACAATATAAAGTAGGGAAGATTGTAAGTGTACGGTTGTTATTGTTTTATCCTATGTAAATTGTACAATAGGATGAGGTAGTGCAGCTTTCAAAAAATCGGCACATTAATTACCTATATGTAAGTTAACGGTATGCGTTTAATTAATTTACCTGATATATAAAATATATCTCCAACTTGACGAGTCGGGTTTGATTTGCCTTGAAGTCAGGCGGTGTCAAACATAGATATAGACATGTGCGCATGATACGATCTTTGAAAGACTAGTCAAATATATTTTATGGCACACAAAAGGTCCCTTGTTTGAAATACTAATCATTTAATGGACTTAAGTTCTCTACGAAGTCAGGGTGGTATCATATCTTTTTGACATCGTATTTTTGGTATTTTAGTAAATGCACATTTCTTAATGCTATCTATATATATAGTGGACGTGCACTGATACATTTCAATATCATAATTTTATGTGCTATTAAACCATGTTAGTACGAGTAGTACTAGATATGTAAACAAGTATAAATATCTTATGTTAATGATGATTTAATGAATTAATGCAAATATTTCCTCATTTAAATGTCAATGAATAATGTAATTGATTAAATTGTGTGATGTGATCGCAATTGCTAACTGTAGTCTTAGATTAACTCTATTAACTAATATCTATAATATTACTTTATCAATAATAAGGTATATATTATTTTAACCAGTAGCTCAATATGGAATTTAATGATTAATTAGTTATCTTTACAAAACATGTAATTTTGCTTAAATACAATCAGTTGTTTTTCTATGTACAATTAACTTGTTTAAGTACAAGACACTCTTGAGACGGATTTTAGAGTTGTAACAAAACAAAAACATTGTAAACTTAAATAAAGTCATTCACACGAGTTAAGAACATGGATTTTTAATATATTTAAGAAGAAAAACATATGCCCTTGATGTCATACTTGGTATACATAGCATACACATGTGATAAAACATGGAATACATGTGTATTGTAACTACTGTTTTATTTGTATACATTCGTACAAGTTATGGATATAACAACATAATTATACATGTATAATATACCGCATCTTCCATATCATTTTATAAGTTTTCTATGATTTATTCATTGTAAATGCATCACTATAAACTTTTTTACGCAAGGTTAGTGAAGAAGAGATATCATACGTGAAAGTTACAATTATAAAATACGTAATTTCCATGCAAAAGTACCCCCACTCTATTATGTCTAAACGCTTGTTTACAACGTCTCTTTTGAAGAAGTTTAATTTTGCGTAAGATATTGTCCTATCTCTTTCAACATATCGTAAAGAAAGAAAATCACAATAACTAATTTCTTGCCATGAGCATATTAAACTTGTATCATTTCTTATGTCATTGATAAAGCCTGTTTTCGCCGTACCTTAACAGTACAATTAACTTGCCTGCTATGAACAAACTATAAATAAGACCTATTCTAATATCTTTCAAATGAAAATATTATCATAAACTTGTTACACTTTGAAGTCTGACCGTATAGGTTTACTTTTAATATTATAATCGTTTTGTTACAGCTGTCGAAAAGTGTATTATTATCTATTATATACATTGTAGTAACCTTCTTTAACTTAAATGACATATTTTTTACCCTTTGATTCTTACTTTTAATAAATTCGAACAAAAGGTTTATTTCAGATTCTTCGTCAGTAAAAGAATTCCCAAGATTATCATATACATTTAGTTCGTTTTCTTTTGTCCTAATTTTCATTATTTGATCACTGTAATTTCCTTTAGTTTGTGTAATTATTATAAAAATTACAAGCAATTCAAAGATTTTTCAATGCTAAAGAATGATAAAGCTTGATCCCAATTCGCTTAAATCATTTTGAACATGAAGTTAATTATATTTCTGTGTTTATTTGACACGTTTCACGTTTAGAAAACAAAAGGTTAATTAACATGCTTTTAATTCGAGATTAGGCAAGTATTTGATTTTTTTTTTCTCTTCAAACTTTTTGTTTGCGTGAAATGAGGAAATAATAAATTAACATTTGTAAAAATAATGCAAATGAATGTTTTTAAATCATATTTTCAGTCGGGAGTATTTAATAAATCTTTTCTCCATTTAACGCAAATGTGATTTTGGAGACATATTTTGGGTTTGTCCATAATTTACGAGCGATTTAATGGTGATGCGCAAAGGTTTTAAATGATTCCTAATGAAAATGGCAGGCTTTAACCTCCCTTTCAGCGCTTTTCGTTTATTTTAATGTCATTTTTATTCTCCTACGAATTATCTTTATATAGTAAAACACGATTAATATTGGTGAAAAGATTTGATATGACATTGTACTAATGTAGTTTTTATTCACTCAGACTTCGAGCCATCATCATGATTTTGATGATCTTCAATAATTATTTTTTGCTGTCTTCTAGATCTTTGCCGTGTCATTATATGATAAAAAAGGAGAAAAAAAATCATTTATCGATGTTACTAACCTATT